TTCAGGAGAGTCCAACAGTGCCGAGTTGGTATTTTATGCTCTCATCAATTAACTCTAGTTCTTGCCTTCTGAGTGAGAATATGTTCCAATTACCGACTTTAAGCTCCCACTGGTGGTGTCATTCTCGCGGACTCTTTTCTGACGTGCTGTAATGGCATCGCGCTATCTGCCTCCTCCGTTCAGAACGGGTAGCGACTCCGTTGTTGACTCCAATCTTCGTCGTTGTTCCGTCGGTCTTCGTCAGCCGTCGTTGTGCTGCCACGCCCCCGCCTCAGAGGGCAATGAGCAGGTTCTGATCGCCGACTTTTCGCAGTCTGTTTCCGTCCCCCAACAGCTTGCGCGGCCCTTGGTAACACGGGCGACGACCGAGCCGGTATAATTTTCGATGGCGGTACATTGCAGACTATTGAATTAATTAAGTAAACAATGTTTGATCGGCTAAGGTTAGTAAGTAACACATTTGCAGTCTTTGGTTGCAACCTCAAAATCCATATCCGTTCAGGATTCGATGACGATGTATCGTACAGCGCTGTGGGAAGTCCAAAGATGCCATAAGTAACGGTCGAGGATTGTTTTTATTTGTTGCTTTAAAGTTTGTTAAAGGTCACCGCTGTTCCGCAGTCGTTTTGAAAGCCTGATACGCTAACTTTGACTATTTTATCCACTTGCTTACTCGGATTATAAGTGGGACTGTCACTCATTGGAATGATGAGTATGAGAATCTCACAAGGCTTATGGAGTTATTGCCTGTGTTATCTACCAAAAGGAACGAAATGTGCAAATCCCTTTCCAAAGATCAGGCATCAGAAATGGTTATGAATGTTTTACATCTGCTGGTCTTCGAGGGCAAGCTCAATGAGAACATTGCAAACAGTTTGACTCTGACAGCGTGCCGAAATCATGTGGCCTGGTAAAATTGGGCACAGTAATCGTAGTTCAAGAGCAAATGAACAAACCCACGACAATGACGGTAGGTGACTGCACAGATTTGTCGAAATATCTAATTGGGCGTACTGGTGCCAGATTTTCCAAAGCTGA